CATGCCCGGGAGTGGATCCACCAACCTCTCTATCTTCTCAGAGACAGTGGGACGAGCCGCTCTGTTTGTGTTTTCAGAGTGATCTTTTAGCTTCTTCTGAAAACGCCACTGAGCGTGCTCGACTACTAGCGGTCTTTCAGTCGGTGAGTTGGGTCACCATGGTCTTTCATGCCAAATGAGCGCTGGCAGAGTCTCCCGCCACGCCTGCATCAATGACGTCATCCGCAGAGCTCTTGTCGCAGTCAACGTGCCAGCGGTCCTTGAGCCTACCGGCATCTTTCGTGACGATGGCAAGAGACCTGACGGAATGACGCTCATTCCGTGGAAGCAGGGTCGCTCTCTTGTGTGGGACGCAACTTGCGCGGATACGCTTGGTCCGTGCCACACAGAGAGCACCTCCCTTGCTGCGGGTGCGGCGGCGGACTCTGCTGAATGCTCTAAACGGCGCAAATATTCAGCTCTCAATGAGAACTATATATTTGTGCCGTTTGGTGTTGAGACCATGGGCCCATGGGGTCCAAGCGCTCGTTCCTTTTTTAGGGAAATATCAAAGAGACTCACAGAAGTTACTGGTGATCAAAAGGCTGGCAGCTATCTTGGTCAACGGATCAGCCTTGCCATTCAACGTGGCAATGCTGCCAGCCTATTGGGCACCATCCCTGACGGCGGCGATGGGGGTGACTTATTTTTTATTTTATAAATAGGATGTTATTTATAAGTAGGTTTAGGAAATTTGTATTTAAATATTATTTATTTCTGTACATATATAATTAAAAAAAATATTAAATGTTATAAAAGCATCATTAAATAAATTACAAATTTCTTTACCTCGGGTAGTTATTGTAGTTTTCCAATTACAGCATTATAGCGCATTATGCGGCATAATGCTTAACGTTGAAGTATTTCAACTACAGCAACGCTTCGCACAATCGAGCACTCTCAAAAGTAATGCCTTCGTGTGATGTGTGCAATCAATCGTACCAACTCAGTGACAGAAAATTAACAAGTGTTTTTTCTTTAAGTTGGCATTGATCGAAATGTTTTATTTATATGTTATTGTAATATTATTTATTGTTGAAAAATTATTAAAGCTTTCGTTTCATTAAATAGTTTTTTTTAAATAATCAAAGTTAAATCAAACTGTTAAAAAAATAAATATAAGTACAACGTAAAGGTCTGTTCTGTAATCTTTCACTGACAAATTTATATCAATGGCGCATGGCGGGGTGATGAGCATCTTCTTTGATTAATGGGTTCAAATTACGCTTAATATTACAGTAAGTGTTACTAAAAATAAGGTAGAGTTTATTATTGGCATTAGGAATAGAGTTGTATTGCTTTAAGTTCGACATATTTAGAAATTCCGCTACCAAAAAAGCGAATTCATTTTCGTTACTAAAAAGGGACATACTGTTCAAGTCTGGGTGAAACTGCCACATAGCCTTAGTAACGTTAAAATCTCCTAAAATTATAAATTTGTCATTATTATAATTATCTAGGTATGTAATTTTGAAACCGATTGAAGCAGTCCGTCAATTGATTGAGGTGATCCGGACTGTGTGGAATATAGGTACAAATTATAATCAGCGAGTTAGGCCGTATACAGAAAGAAAGCCGAAAGCCGATCGGCGCTTATCGGCGCCGATTCTTCCTACATAAAGGAAGCCGATTAAAGCAGATCAAGCAAAATGTCGGACTCATCGGACGATGATTTGGTTTTGTTAGGAAATGTTTATTTAAAAATGCGAAAAACAGGTATACATCCTATAAATAGAGAAAGGAAACGTTTGGGAGAATACCATCATTTATTTGTTAAAGAATTGAAATTTGATGATCAAAGATTTTATGCATATGCAAGAATGACTAAAAAAACATTTAATTACATTTTGGATTTAGTGGAAAACCGTTTGATGAAGAATTGGTGTAATTGGCATAAACAACCAATCCTTCCAGAAGAAAGACTTGTTGTCACCATTCGGTAAGTACGAAACAAATAATAGGGAAGATGCATATATAATATTTATGAAAATTTTATCATTAAAATGTTAAAAAAATATAAAAGAAATGCCACTGCAACGTTTTTATTTTACATAATGTTGTTTTTTAACAATTATTACGAATTAAAAATACTTGAAACGGAACGTATTTTAAAACACCAATCAGCGTTTAGTGACGTCACTCCTGTTATGACAACTTCTTTGAGGTTATGGCTGTTAAAGTAAATTTTATTTTATTGGAATATTTATTGCGTTTTTTTACATTTAATAAAAATGAAAGTTGCGTTTATCAAAGCAGACTCCAGAATTTACCAAGAGTTAGCGTTGACATGGTTATAACTTTTTTTGTCCAAAGTACAGAGATTTTAAGTGTAGAAATGAAAGAGACTAAATTACTACGGTATGTAAAAATCGTAAATGTTAAACTTCGTATTTTATTCAGCAGCTTCTACAAATCTTACGGCGATAATGCAATCGGCTATGTTCAAATTAAAAGAGATGGAAAATTATGTACAGTAAAAGGTCGAGTTCTCCAGAGCATAAAGTACGTAAAGATGGTTATCGTGTTACAGTTATTTTAAATGAAACGCAAAGCTTGGTTCAGTCCTGCCAATGTGAAGATTGTGCCACACATTTTAAACTTTATCTAATTTTCGACGTCATTCTCCAACTATAAAATTAAAAATATGTTATAGACAGGTTTTGTAAGTATTAGGTAGGTTTACGTACAAGCAGATTAATTAAACATATAACAAGTATATTCGCCGACTTACGTCAAAGTGATCTTCTCAGCATCGAATAATGAGAGAATGTCTTAATGTCTTTGGAGAATAATTGTCATTCTCTTCGCAGCTTGAAACCACTTTTTTTTCAGTTTTGGGTCAGAAGTTCCAGTCAAAAACAATTTATTTGGGAACTTAGTTGAAGTAGATTGGCACAAAACATGAGTCAACACGGCTTTTTTTCGGAATATTAGTGGTATTGTTATGATCACAAGATGTCGATGGATAGTCCATTTTAAATTTTTCAAAAAAATATTTCGAAAGTCGAAACAATATGCAAAAAAAGTATGAAAATTTAAAGCCAGCAACGAACAATTACCAGTGACAGACAGGAGTGACGTCATCGCAACCATAGGTTCGTTTTCGCGCGAAAATTTAAATTGTCAATTCAAAACCGCATTTTTTCCGATAAATCACAATGTTTTAATTTTTTAATATATCTGTGGTTTATTCTACATGGAATTCTTTAAAATGAAAACAAAAATAAAAATATTGCATCTTCCCTATTTTAGCGCTTAGTTAATAAAAGATAAAGTTATTAGATTTATAAAAAGATTATAACTTAGATTGATTTAATCTAAGGATAATAATTCAAATACAAATTATTTATAATTCGACAATTAGGCGCCGATCAGTACGGCGCCAACGCCCTTCGAGGTATCTATGATGACATTTTATGTCGCACGCGTCACAAATTCTTCGAGTGCATTTATCGTAAACCGGCTGGATATACTAAATAAATATTTCCAACACTCACACCAATTAGCCTAGCCCCAAAGTAAGCACTATCAGGCTTGTGTTACATCGATAAGTATATTTATATAGAAATAAATATTAAACATCCATGACTGGAGTACATATGCTCATATTCATTACATAAACATCTGTCCTCACCGGGATTCGAACCCGGGACCTCTCGAGTCGGCGACACCATGAAACACGGCGTATAAACCCCGCGCGGACCGTTGGACAGTCGAGATTTCGCAGAGCTCCGTGAAAAAATGCGAAATAAATACTAAAGTGTCATTTTCTCGACAGGTATCTAATAAACGTTTGTTAATTTAACGCATTGGAAGCAAATTTTGTTCTAATACTTACTATAAACTGATTTAATAGAAAATATTTGTGATATTGAAATGCATGGTCGGTAATATAGCTGTCTCTTTTCCTCACGGTCCGTATGTGTTACATTGCGAATAGCGCATTCAGAACTGCGCGTAAAATCAAATGAATAAGGTGTATATTCTTCCGCATATAGCAATAAATTCGTAAAATTCTACCTTGCTTGCATTTTGAACTGTCATAACTCTGACGCATACTTTTTAATTAAGACCTTAAAAAGTATGCATTAAAGGTGACTTTCAATGATTAAATAATGCCTTATATTGTTTTTCACTACGCGATCAATTTACTCCGTGCTTAGTTCCGTGGATCGTCCAATGTACCTATTAGACAGGTTTCGGCCACGATTTTGTTCGTGAGGTTGTATCTAGGGTATTTAATATCGTTGAAGGGCTCTTAAGACATAGGTAATATTTAAATAAAGAAGTTGTAATACTTAACCGATTTAAATGTTCACTAACTTTATGTAAGTCGACAAACTAAAACAAAATCAATTAATACCTACTCACCGTCTTCATTCATGGCCTCGCTTATTTCTTTCCAACATTTGTCAACCACGTATCTATTACAGTGCCTTTTGTCGGTTTTGTCCCACAGAGGTTGTTTAGTGAATACTAAGGATATCAAAATGTCATTATCCATTTTTCTACTTAAAAAATAATTGCGTGTAGTAATTGACGTACCTGTTGTCGTTGTTTATTAATTTAAAATTGCAGCTGACCAGCGCGAGTCGGCGCCGATCGGCGCTGGTCCATAGAAAAAGGATCAGCGCCGATCGGCGCCGATAAGCGCCGATCGGCGCTGATCGGCTTTCGGCTTTCTTTCTGTATACGGCCTTAGGCAAACCCGCGGAAGCGCGCCGGCGCTGTAGCGGTGGCACCGAACAGTGTGAAAAGGGTGGTAATGAGCGCACACAAGGTCGCATAGTTTCGCTCAGTTTCGCTTTCGCTTTCGCTTTCGCTAAACTATAATGGTTTCTTGTCAGCACTACGAAACCCTAAAAAGGGAGTGGAAGAATATTATGGGTATCTAAGTAAAATTCTGCAGTAATATCTTTATGCATAATTTTAGTATATCATAGGAAAATAAAATACATAGGTAGTATATTATGCTTAAATATTTATATAATTAAAAAAAACAATATTACATTTAACATTCACAAAACATTTAGGATTGGACTCATTTAACCTTTATGAACTGCCACTCGAGTTCATATACTCCAACAGATGTCTGGTTCTTTTCATCATAGTCTGCCCATTCTTTTTCACTAAGATCCACATCATTAAATTTTTTACCTGCAATAAGAGTTTTTAAATAGAATCATTCAAGTTATGGACCAATAGGAAATGGGAAATATTAAAATGATCCTCATAAATTAATAAATGATTACCTACAAAATACTATTGGTAAGACCTAACCTAGAGGTTAGGTTAGGTTTTTAATTGTATTTTTTTGACGATCAATTACTGTTTTTGAAGATCATGAAATATGTGCCATAGGAATTTTATTTCGTAGAATAATACTGCCCTGATGAGCTGAAAAGAGGAATTCAATCAGACTAACAATTTATACAAAGGCGATTTTCTCTGATCCAAATACCGCTTTTCAGCTTATCAGGGCAGATTATCAATAATAAAAAAAAAGGTCTAAGAATGCAATACCTACACCACTGGTGTGCAAAGTTAAGGTAGGTCAAATATCTTAAATCAGTTAACTTGCCAATAACTAAGAAAGCAGTGTTTCCTTGTCTTTATGGAGTGAGCACCACTAAAATCACACTAATATTATGAAGGCGAAAGTTTGTGAATGTGTGTGTATGTTTGTTACTTCTTCACATATAAATGGCTAAAGTGATTTTAATAAAATTTGGTATGGAGTTAGCTGATACCCTGGTTTAATACATAGGCTACGTTTTACTGCAGGAAAATTTCCCTAGTAAACTGCAGGTAACACTGCGGGGCACAACTAGTACTTTAATAAATAACATAAAAGATGCCTATGGGATTGGTATAACTATTATATTATAGTTATATTAATTACTAAGATTAAGAAGCTTTTAACAGAAAACAATTCATTTACCATTTTCCTCAGCTTCAGCAATCCAATCTGATTTGGGTTCAAAATCTACAGGTTCTACTCCTCTACAGTCAAATTGAACTATAGTTTTAAATTTTCCAATATCATTATTTGTAAAAGCGCCTGTAAATAATTTTTCATATTTTAAACAGAGTATTTGTTTATAAATCTGAAAACTACAGTTTAATATTCCAAAAGATTAAGTTATGAGGTTATAAAATATTTACTTATGTACCATTGCTGCCTTCAATCACATCTATGCTGTTTTCCCTCGAACATAACTTGCATTTTATGAGTAAGTTTGTTTCTGATCTATTATGCTTCTGCGGAACTTTATCAGCCTCTGTTAGGTCATGAAACTTTTCAGTCACCTCACCGCAGCTACTACACTTCAATTTCAAAAACCACTGATAGTGAGGATAGTTTGTATACAATTTCTCAATACACTCTAGCTGTGCTTTGATTTGCAGGGCAATTTTCACCATTGTTTTGCGTATTATAAGCACAAAACCAACAAACAAACTATCACAACAAAATCTTTCTTTACCGAAAATATGACAGCATTCGTATATGTTAGGCTTTAGGCTTGTTGAAAATATATCGATGTATCGATATATCGATATTTTTTGTTCGATATATCGATATTTTTAGCCGATATATTTTGATTCGATATATCGATACATCAATACAAAATAACCAATATCGAAATTCGTATCAAAAACGATATTTTTTAATTATTAGCGGCATATCACGATCTAACTAAATTCGTATCTGGAAAAATCGTAACTGGATCTCAGATTAATGATATTCAACATATCTATGATCTGTATTGTAAATCTGTTTCGCTGGTGAATTGGTTGTGCTGAATTCCATTATATTCTGTGGAAGTGTGTGACTAGTGTTGTTTACTAAAGATGGCACCTGAGAGGCCCTGCAATCATTTTCATCATTCGAAAATAGGGTCTATTTTTAGGGAGATAAATTTCGTTCAATTATTATTCCTCGTATCATCTTCCGTGAGATACTGTACTGTCATTTAGTGTAGCGGCAATTTAGTAATTCCATAATTCTTTCTTTAATTATAATTTGTATTGTTATTATTACTGTGATAGGCTGACCTAAATATCTTTTTGGGAAAATTGGTCCGATATATCGATATATCGATGTTTTTTTCGCGATATATCGAAGCCGATATTGATATTTTTTTAAATATCGATGTATCGATATATCGATATTTTTTTCAACTTTCGACATCCCTAGTATATGTTAGTTATATCGGCACTTTACTTGGCTATTCGTGTTTGCTATTTGTGAACTTGACAAAAGTCTTTTTTTATCATGCTTTTTAATGACTGAAAAGGACAGAGTGATGTCAACAAATAGCTAAGTGAAATGCCGGCCTGCAAAAAAAAAGACAGTGACAATTTAATGTCAAATCAAACTAGTAAAAATTATTGGAGATGGCAATATTCTTCTATTGTTTAGGAATGCTTTTTCTCATCTTTTGCCATAGTTTTTAGAAGGCCAGAGTATAATGTCGTTGTCTTCAATTCAATCAATGCTGTGGTGCCTAATTATCTTGTATATTTAACCAGTGATTACTTTTTGGACTGAGATAAGAACACATGGAGTGGTTTCTACCCGCACCGGTCGCTGGCGAGAGCAGAGCTGTTTTATATCAAAACTCACGAGACCGTAGTTTTATGCGGTCCCGCAAGCAACCACGCACTCTACGGGCGTATTCGTTCGGAAAACGTTGTTGAAACTCAACTGTCCACTGCGCGAAGACGAGCGCCATATATCGCATTCCAGAAAAGTCAAATTTAAACGGCATTTACACTACCTAATTTTAAGGGCCCTATCAAAATGGTGGCGTCACGCCACTAGCTAGAGTAGCAATTATTAAACCGCACCGATTGCGCTACATCGGGCCCCTTACTCCCTAACTCATGTTACACCACCCTTAGTCAGGGCAAGGGTCCCTTAAAATTGGGTAGTATAATACCGTTTCAGTTTAGAGTTCGCTAGCACCGGCCAGTATTTACCTCTTGTTTACACGTAGGCAAGGGGTGCGGCAGTTTTTGAGCAAAACCACATACAAATAAACTTACGCAGCAGATATTTTGTATATAAAATGAAATAAAATTGCTCCTGAGCAGGCTTCCTTGTCTATGGTGGGATGGGTGGATGCATGTTTTTTTTAAGTGGTGATAAAGTCCAAACGCGAAGATAGCTGGTACGGCAGTTATAAACTGCTACACCAACCATCCTCACCTTGCCGACATGCAATAGTGCTTCCTCACGCCTCTCTAATAGGACCCCAGATTATAGGAAGGTGGGAACACGTGCGCGGGTAAAGAATTCCACTTACGAATAATACGACAAACAAATGAGTCACCAAATTTCTTTGTTCGTGTAGGAATAGTGGCCACAGTAAGTCGGTGGCAACGAAGGCCAGCGCGCGTGGTCCTCTGAAGAAAAGGTGATGGAGGGATAAGGGAGAATAGCTCCTCAGAACACCCGCCGTGGTATAGTCGGTAGAATGCGCTTAATGATGCCACATCGCGGCGTAATTGTAGACTCGAGTTTCTTAGTTACCTCCTCATCGGTGATGCGGGTAGCGCGCCGCTGCAACCTATCCAAGCCATCGAGTAAGTACTTAGTGGAGCCATCCCAGAGGTGCGAGCAATATTCCACACAGGACCGCACTTGCGATTTGTACAACAAGCACAGTTGATCGGGTGTGAAAAAACGCCGCACCTTGTTCAGGTCAGGACTCAGAGTTGCGTGAAGCTGTTTTGATCACGGTTTCGATGTAGTCCTTTGGATTCAGGTCTGAGCGAACTTCCATACCGAGCTTGGTAATGTTGCTCTGTAGCGCCAGTGTTGTCCCCTGAAGAGAGGGCAGGGGAAGGAATGGCGACGTTCTTGCCGTCAAAGCGCAATCCTCGGTTTTCTTGGCATTGAACTCAACCAAGTTCCTGGTACCCCATTGGGAAATGTGGTCCAAAGCCTGATTAAGTTCAACGACAAGGTTCTCTCGTTTCTCCCTGGTTTCTACATGTCCAGCCACTGCGTGTTCAAAGTATCTCGCATGCACTGTACTATCGTCTGCATAGCAATGAATATTCGCAAGTGGAATCAAATCATTGATATGCAGCATAAAGTGTAGGAGATAGAACGGAGCTCTGAGGAACACCGCCATTCACTAACATAAACTGCGAACTACATCCGTCTGTAAGGACGCGAATTTTACGCTCATGCAGGAAGTCAGCTACCCAGGTGCAGAGCTGAGCAGGCAGACCGTATGCAGGAAGCTTGGAGAGAAGACTTTTGTGCCAGACTCTGTCAAAAGCCTTGACTGTGTCAAGGCTAAAAGCCAGAGACTCTCCCCGCTTGTCTATAGCTTCACACCAGATGTGTGTCACGTACGCTAGTAGGTCACCCGTCGATCGATTCGGCCTAAATCCGTATTGACGATCGTGAATCAAAGAGTAATCTTCTAGGTAGCGGGTCAGGTGGTTGTTAAGGACCCTTTCTAAGACTTTACACAACACTGAGGTGACAGGTATCGGCCGGCAGTTAGCCGGGTCTGAGCGGTCCCCTTTTTTGGGCACCGGTTGCACATGTATAGCAGACATAGGTTGTGAACAAGTTGGCAGCTCTCATTGCACTTTCAGCCATACGCCGCGCTGCTCATATTGGAATAGACCTTACTACTCAGCCTTCATTAAGGTCATTCGAGTCGCGAGTACATCGAGCAACGGCTGCGGCATTCTAGGTAAATCTGTTTGCAGTTAGTTCGTGGTTTTGGTTTCAGAGAGTTCAAAAAGGACTAAAAAATACAATACTGTCGTAATAATATGATTTTATTTGCGCCGCATTTCATTAAACGTGTTATGGTCAACTAAATAAAGAATGTATAATAATAACTTTATTCATTGGTCGGAAGCTATACCCTCGACATCGGAACTATCTTAATAGAGTTGCCCTGTGCATCAGTATGTAAGGAGAGGCCCATTTCTTGCAACACTTCATTATCAACAGGCCCTTGCAGCGTCATTTTAGTTATCACCTCCTGTGAAACATAATTAAATATATTTCAGTTAATCCGGTAATAAAAATAGCTTTTTCGATAGCTACGTAAACAGTCACCGCGTGTAACTACTTTCATTAAAAGGTATAATGATCAAGTCAACATTTTATAATTGATTGTGAATTTTATAAAATACTATCTGCCCCAGCGGACTTCGTACCGCCATAAAAAATAGGGGTTGGTAGTAGAAGGGTTGATGATACTTCATACAAAAATACATACAATCCTAAATTTTCACCCTGGCTCACAAAGGAAATCAAAAGGCTAATAATAATAAGAAGGATGTCGCCAAAAGTAAATATAAACGCCGTCCGACCGACTCAAACAAAGCTCACTATGTCAGAGCCCGTAACCACTGCATTTTGGTGTGTAGGGATTGTTTATACTTACGTCGTCATATCCATGTCTCAGTCGATAATAAAGATCCAGCAAAAGCCTGGAATTTTCTCAAGTCACTTGGAATTGGTAAGCCTCGACAAGAATCCGTTCCTAGTAGCTTTGACGTCAATTCCTTAAACCTTCATTTCTCATCTTCTTCTGGTCTTAGTGATTCAGATGAAACTAATACTTTAAATTATATTTCTTCCTTACCAGTTCCAGACTACTCTCCTTTTGTTTTTGCTCAATTCTCTGAATGTGACGTTAAGAAGAACGTGCTTTCTATCTCATCCAATGCGGTGGGGAGTAACAGCATAAGTCGCAACATGTTAATACCAATCTTAGATATCATTCTCCCCGTTCTAACATTCCTTTTTAATAGCTCTATTTATAATACTGTTTTTCCTTTACCTTGGAAGCAAGCTCAAATTATTCTTTTGCCAAAGAAATGTAGACCTCATCCGTCGCTGATCTCCATTCTTCCCTTCCTATCAAAGGTACTTGAGCGCCTTGTTCTTAATCAGTTTAATATTTTCCTTTCTCGCCACGATCTCTTTAACCCTCTCCAATCCGGTTTCCGTCCGGGACACAGCACTACAACTACTTTACTCAAAGTCACAGATGACATACTTCTTGGGATGGACCGCGGTTTCCTTACGGTATAAACATTGTTGGATTTTAGCAATGCATTTAACACTGTCAACTTTGATATTCTTTTGGAATTGCTACGCTCACTTAACGTATCTCCATCGACGATTGAGTTGTTTCACAGCTATTTGTATTTGTGCAGGCAGCGTGTCGGCCTCGAGGACTCGTTTTCTTCATGGTGAGACACGTCTGCTGGCGTCCCTCAAGGCGGCGTCATATCTCCACTTCTCTTTTGTGTATTGATTAATTCAATCTCTAATAATATCACTTCTTCCTACCACCTATACGCTGATGACCTCCAAATTTATCAACAAGCGCCCATTGGTCAACTTGGTGATGCAGTGCTAGCCACAAACAGTGATTTGAGTAAAATATTGGGAGTGGAGTAAATCGTTTGTGCTTGAGGTAAATCCGGCTAAATCAAACAGTATCATTATTGAAAGATTCAGGATGATTGCCAGGA